ATAAAAAATGGATAAAGTAAATTAATTTATAAATCCAATAAATTTCCAATAAGGATTAAAATGTTGAATGTCTGATTTAGAAATAAAATTTTGTAGAGGATTGAGAAGTTAGTTAAAAAAAAATATAAACATAATAATGAAAAAATTTATAACAAGAAATTAAAAATGTTTGCAATGAAATTATGAACATATCAGAAATTACAGTAAAATAATGAGAATACTAAGACATAGAAAATCATGTTTTTTAATGTGACCTATAAGCGAAGTAACCCAAATTTATCAAAGTCAACGAAGTCAAACATTATATAATCTTTCAGTCTGCATCGTAAAAGAAATTATCTTGTAATTTCGTATAGCGAAGCGGAGAGTAAAAGTTAACCGAAGGTATTAAAAGGGATAATTAAGTCTCTGTATATAACTGTATATTCTCTGTATATTCTGTTGCAATATTAGAATTTTTTCTCAATATATAACACGAATTATAATATATCTTTATTTTATAAATACGAAATATGCAATTATTATAGTGTAATTAAAGATTATTTTTCTTGCATATTTTTTATTTAGTAATGAATAATTTTTCTGTTGCGATAAAATATATAATTTTATTAAAGTAACAACAATATTTAATCTATGCTTATACTTTAATATTAAATTTTTATCTTTATTATTATGTTAATAACCTGCTATATAACTCTTATATTATGATTCTGCCTATTATTATACTATCTATTATTGTTATATTTATCTCCTTGTAGGCTTCTTGTGCAATGTTAACTAGTTACTGGCAATTTGGTCGTCAATGCCAATGACTTGGTCATTGAGCATATTGGAATTTATAAGCGCTTACGTACGTAGTCGCCGCTGGTCGCCGCGACTAGCTTTTGTTTCTAGTCTCTCGGCGACCAAGTCATCGGCGACTTATATATAATATAATAGAATAATATAATATGTTGTAAGAGAATTAAATATTAGTCTTTCTCATAATATTTCATTTGCTTTAACTCCGTACGTACAATAATACAGTCAGATACATTAAATTTTTTTTATACATCTGAACTGAATTATTAATTTGTTCGTAATTTTTGATAATATTGTAAATTATATATTAATATAAATATCCACATTTTATAACTTTTGTTATTGATTTTAATAATTCGAGGAAAGTGCAATGTCTTTTTATATTTCATTCGTAGTTTTCTACGTCTCCGGCATGAGAAATATTAGACGGATCGAATATATTAGACATCCAGTAAACCCCATTCATCATATAGAGGTATTCTTTTTGTCATCACTTTTCGATAAGCTTCATTACTATAGGCTTCATTATTAAAAGAATCACCGCCCATCATCTCATCAAGATCTTTCACGTCATCCTTATTGCACAGTACTATTGGTAATACCGTGAAGGCCGCTATCATTCCAAAACTGGCTTTTCGTTTCAAGGTAGCCTTCAATTCCTCCATAGTAGGCGGTTGTGTTTTGCAGTTCAATTGCTGCATGGTTGATACCAGGGTGTTATGATACTCGTTCAATAAAACACTTTTGCTATTTTCAATGACATCCGGGGAGGGACTCGTGCTGAGGAAATAGTGGATATCGAGCGCCGGCGATGCGTAAACGCATAGCTGGAAGTCCACCTGCAATATCAAACGAACTCTTTCGATCGATCGATCTCTTGAGCGTTTGGCAATTGAATTGGAAATGAAATCCGTGCACGGGAAAAGAAGCGGGATTCGTGTTTAGGAAGTCGCGGACGAATGAGAGTTTGTGCGAGTGACACAGGCGGATAGGTGGCGGATGTGTGTACCCGAATTCGATCAACCTGAATTTATTGCATTATTCATAACGTATTGCATTCCGAAATATCACATATTGTCATCGACTCTTTGTTTCAGCTAGGTAATAATAGATAATGGAATTAAAATATATAACGCCTAGTCAATTATTTATTTATTTTATTTTATCTATTTAATTTAAACTTGTATTATTGCAGCGTTCAATTTCAGAAATTATAATTAAAATTCAACAAAATTTGAAATAATTTGAAAAAGAAACTAGAATTGAGCTTATGTGCGATTTATATTTTTCTAAATTATGCGAAAATGCAATCTTAAATCATGTTTTTTTTTCGAATTGAATCTAATTAAACATTAGGAAATATTGTTTCAACAATATGAATTTTCTGTTACATGTAGATATACATTTTATGAATTTATGTAATTTTAATTCTATATCGGGTGTGTAAGGAATATTGTAATAGGTAAATCTCAGTGGATTTCCATATTTAGGAGTATGAAAATTTTTATAACTTATGGTGATACTTACAAATATATGATCAATAGGTTTGCCACCATTGTCATATTTGAACAACATATTATTTACCCAGCAGTCACCGTGATTGATTACATTAAATTCATCTTCGGAAGGCTTGCTTATTTCTGCTCCTACTCGATATATGTGCTCGGTGAATTTACTAATTTTTTCCGCGTATCTAGCAATAAAAATCATACAAACATAAGATTAACATTTTTTAAATATTTTAAATAACGCAGTTTGTACATGTACTTATTATTGTCATATTATTTTTCCTGTTTATTACTTTAATATATTATATAAAATGTTACCTTATATGTATACCTTATACATTGGAATGACAAACACTATCTTACCTGCTTACTTCTGGCCACTTTGTTATTTCGTCTGCTAAAGTTTTAATAGCCATATAAAAGAATGCTCTCATTTCTGTTGGATGTTCATGACTAAACATTCCTCTTCTGTACGTCTGCTTTTGGCTCGGGTCCTAAATATTAAAACATTTTTGTTTCTAACTAATCTTTATCCATTAAATCAGAAAGTAAAATAATTATAAAACACATATAATGGAAAGGCTCCATATGTTAACAAACGTAAAATAATTATATTTGTGATGCGATTTGAAATGTTATTCAAAGAGGATATGACAAATAGAATTTATGAAGCTAATTTTAATGACACGCGATTCTTTGACAAGTTTAGAATCGATATTTATTTGTAGTGAATTAACAGGAGAACTATTATTTGTTGCAATTTGCAAAGTTTTAAAAAGTTTTATAATACATGTACATCTTTAATTTGCTATAAATTTCATTTTTGATTGCTTATTCCAATTGAGAAAACGTTAACTCGAGATTGGTTAAAACCGTCATTATTTTAAAGAAATTGATTGAAATTGAAAAGCTGTATCTTTTAGAGAAAGTTTTAATGATAAAAAGTTTATTTTTTTTTGTTATAATTTTACTTTTTAGCGTGAATTGTAATTTTCGAGTTGGAAAGACAGATTCAATTTTTCTTTTAAACTCTTCTCTTGACTAAACATCGAAATACGTGCCGCAATAAAGGATAATAAAGGATATTGGACTTTGATTATTCTCCGCTAAACATTCTTGTTGGATCATTTGCCGTGTAGTTTCGAACTCCCATTTGCCCATTCAAAATCGCAGTAGTTTATGGTAACCATTATGCCGCACGCATTATTATATGTATAATAGTATATATGTAGGTATCTGAATTTATCAGAATTTAGGATCACGACGCACGATATTTATCTTGAATGAATTCCGTTTCAGCGATCGTTAATGGGCGCAATAATTTTTCCTTATCGTGACATGTATCATTGTTTTAAAGTTGTCATAAAAATTCTGTTCATACTTTTATAAATTTTGTGAATTGTACGCGACTAGGTATTGTTAATGACATACTCATGAATTTTTAATACATTTACGATATTTACTGAAATGAAATAAAATTTGCGTTTTTTGTGATAGATATTTTATTGCTTATATATGCTATTTAAAAACATAAAACTACTTGTAAAAATAGTTATAGTTGTAAAAATAGTTAAATTATATAGTTTACTGTACAAGCTATATTGAGTTATAACAATATAAATCTATTTTATATTTGTTCAATCAATTGCATCTAAATTTATCGCGGATAAAATTGATGTGAAAAATATTGTCTATTTTTTTTAACAGAAATTGCCGAATGCTCTTATTCTGAATGAAATAAAAGGCAAATTGCGTAAATCAAACATGTATGTTTAGCACGTGATTCTAAAGCTGTTATTATTATTATTTATCTAATTACTTTTCGGCAATATTTATAATAATCTATTTCATAAAATTTTAGATTATTTTGCATTATATGTATTCATTAGATAGTACAAGAATTTTTATGACAACTTTAAAACAATGCGACTGTCATGCAATGCAATTCAAGTGATTTTCTGTACGTTGACGTATTAATGCGGAAATGCCATTGACATGAATTTGATATGGAAGAGAATTTTTAATTATTGCGAACTGTTATGATTACGAAGGCATTGTGATTTACCTGCTCGCATACGGCTACCGAGGATGCGTGAAATTTAGCTAATCCACGAATCGCCAATAAGCAGTGATCAAGATCAAGACCGGCCAAACGATCGGCCATGCGAAAACCGAGAGGCGTGAGATCTTCGATTACTATAAACATTGGATTTTCCTTTTGCACGTATAGGCCCTTTCCGCTCAAGCGATATTTAGGTGCTAACAACTTGTTCATTCTATCCAAAGTATCTGTCATCATTAACATCTCTATTTCGAAAAGGCGCGCTTTCAAGATCTGTAAACGAATTATTCAAGATTTGCATTACAGTTTTTGATCTGTTTTTATAGGGTGCGTAAATTTGATATAAATTAAATGAACTTACAATTTCTTTGCGCGCGCCTTCGTCTATGGGGGCGATTTTGACGATGATTGATTTCTTCTCCGTGGTCTTACAGTCGCCTTGTTCACGTGAGAACTCGACATTAACTCTGATCATATCGCTGGTATAATTGTCACCTTTGTTCGTGGCCGGCTTCGAGAATATATCGATCACCTGGATCGAGTTGTCGCCTTCCGACTTTCGCAAGATCTTCTCCACGAAGCATAGATTCAGCCATGTCGGTGTCTCTAGGGCCATTTCTGAAATTGGAATTGGAATTGGAGAATTTCCCCGACAAATCATTGTTCTTCTCGCCGTGTCACGAAACGCGAAAACGATTCTTTACGATAACTTATTGTTCGCGGCGAGATTTATCACGTTTCCTTTCTTTCTAGCCAACTCCCCTGCCCCCATCTTGGTCTTTCCACCCTTTTCTTCGCCACCCCTTGCGCGCCGTTTTTCGCTCGTTTTACCGTCATTTCTTTCTTCGCGTCCGTCGATATTCACGACGAGCATTCCCCTTGCGTTTGAAATCGCTGTTTCAATTAAGAGCGTAATGGGACTCCGCTTTTCCCTTTTCCTTTTTGGCCAACGGCATACGTACGTACCGCGTCGAGATGCCGTCGAACGTGATCGAGTTGCGGTATTTGCGAGAAATTTACGACGCGTCTGGCGCGCCGCGATCGCGTACGTACTTGCGGTCGAACGACGTCAGCTATATTTCACTCTGATGAGTTTTCTCAGCCACTATAACATTTCTCAGAAATGTTTTCCGCAGTTTTCTCAGGTTCAAATCCCCGGCTGCCATTAAGACGCTTGATACTTGAACTTGTATAGGGAACTTATTTATCATCTTAATGGCGTATAAAGAATTTATAATAAACTTTCATTCAGAATCACTTTAAGAGCATAGATGTGTTATAAATTAAAAATGTTAGGAATGCAAATCAATAACAAACCCTTATTTTTTAATTAATTTTAAATATATTTTATTTTAACTGAATATTAATTCAAGCTTTAGTTGAATGATTTTTAAGATTGATATTTATAAGAAGAATCAAATGAGAGAGAGAGAGAGAGAGAGATGGATGGCATCATTAGAATGCTCTTATAAATGTAAAATGACACGTGTTTTAATGGATCACATTGTGCTATGTCATTTTTTTAAATTACACTGTTTGCAGATTATGTAATCTGTCGGGACTAGTTTAATACTTGGTAATACTCGGATTAATACTCGGTATGAAAGAAAAACAACGAGTTGCAATGCGGATAAAGTCGATTTGCTACTCAGTCGAGCATAATAATTGCATACATGAAGCGTAATATGTAATTAATTGATGCACTAAAATTTGCATTAAAGAATACAATTCTATCATATCAAGTCAATCAATATACAGATTCCTCGTTTGAAATTTATATGATTTAATTATTACTTTTTATATGCGTTACTTGTTTTATTATAGTTATTAAATTTTCTGGCTCGTACCACGGTTACCTTTTGTATATTATTTATTTATTTGTAATATCTTATGCTATGGTATAATATACGTAAGATTGAAGTGTTTAAG